TGCACAGATTTGGCTAAAATGGAAGTCTGTATGTTTTTGGAGTATGCGTGTATACCCATAGCCGTCAATATGCTCCTCAACTCACTGCAGGCGTGTGGTCCGCCGAAAATGCACCCAAAGTTGATGTCGGACTGGCTCAGGATTGATCTGGAGCTAGCCGAACGGCTCTACCCTCGTCTGTGTTCGCTGAGGGGTTCTGATATCGCGCTGCATTTTGCTATTGATGCTGCCTGTAAGGATGGGTTTGCGGACAAGGCGCCGATGTTGAAGGGCCGGCTGACTACTGACGCTAAGGTCACCATTGATGCAATTCGTCAAGCGTTGCAGTACGTTGATAGGAACTTGGTCAGCACGGCATCACGCCACGAGGGCCTGAACTCAGCTTTGGATTGTGAGCGGAATACCTCTACGACCTCTACTGTGAAGTCATCTGATATTGCTCCTCCTGGCACACCGTTGAAACAGCTATCGATGCCAGCGATGTGTTTGAGACCAGACAGTGGCTCCCCGCTTCCCCCCAGTAGGGAAACTACCAATTCTAGCTTTGTCTCGGCGACAAGTGACGACCCGCGCGAACCGCGACCGTTCGCGGATGCATATGGTACAAGAATTGGTGGTCGATCAGTGAGTAGGACCGACCGATATTCGAAAACCAATCTACGACGTTTGGTCAGCGACTCGCCGTGGGCCTCGAGAGTAGCGGTGAGCAGAGGCGGTCGAGGTTTGAGCTATGTTATGACTAATATAAGACGTATGCGTCGTCTCTTCAAAGAGGGATTCCGCTCTAGTCTGAAGCATATGCTACATAAACGCCTGTTGCAGCAGCTCGGAGGTCTCAGCTCTGTCGATTTGGACTCGCTGCAACTTTGGTTGCCCTTACTTCGTGAGACATCGCGTATCGTGGGCTATGCGGACGTGCCTCCATGGATGAAGTTGATTGCTGTTCACTATATTGATATGCTTTGCGATAAGATCTTATTGGCAATGGGTGGGCCTCTGTCGGAGGGGTGTTCTATCAATCTGATCGAGTGGATAAATGCGGCTCCAAACTATCCTCTTACGCTCCCACTGGTCTGTCGGTCAGCTAATGACTCATCGCAGGAGTTTATGGATATTGTTGATGGTGGCGAGGAGCTGGCGCCTCTCTCTTTGGAGGATATTGCTGTGAATCCGGCATCACCTGATAGTCGGCTCCGTACAGGCTCTCTGCTGAGCTCGGCTGAGTTTGAGGAGGAAGCGGTCCGATACAGAGCTATGATGAAGTCTCAATATGCTTATGAGGTTGACTCGATCAGTGGTCATCAGATGGATGTGATGCAGGCTTGTGCGAACTTTCGGTTGGTGCCGTGGAGGGAAGGTGCTGGTCATAATACTATGTTCGACATAGAGCAGTGTATTCGGCGTGTTGACGATCGGCTCAACGGCAAGTGCTTCGCGCGGCAGTTCTTGGTCTCTGGTGCTCCAGGGTCGGGAAAGAGCTGTTTGCTCAGAAGGTTGGTCATCTACTGTCTGAATAGTCAGAACGATCTGTTGCCTCTGGTGATTCCTGTGAGGGAGCTCGCCAAGAACTACGTCCTGTTGACTCAACATACTGATGAACGTTTGAGCACGTCGTCCTCTTCGAGTGCTGCTGCTGCCGGTGATAACTCCTGCTGCTTGCTCGACACTGATGCCGACGGTCCTGATCCAGAGACCCTGCTGGAGGCTTGGATGAGATCCCGTCTTGGCGACGAGTCGAGCCGCCTGTATCTGATGCGAATGATGCTCGCTAGCGGTCGGTTGTTGATTCTCATGGATGGTCTCGAGGAAGCTGGCTCTGCCAAGTGTACAATAGAGAAGCTACTCTCATTGCTTGCTGTCAATAAGCATCGTGTCGTTTGCACCGTTAGGGAGGGCTACCTCAGTGATCACTCGCAAGAGAGTCTGACAGCTTCAGGTTTTGAAGGCTCGAGCCTCTCGTTGCTGGATGCTGAACAATGTCGGTTCGTGGCTAATGCTCGCCTTGGTCAGGCTAGTGCTGCGAAGTTCGAGGACTTTCTGAACGAGTTCCGGGATAAGGTCGCCAGTTCGCCAGAGGGCGTCGAGTTCATCAACACCCCGGCTTGCCTGAACATGCTGCTATGTTATTGGGAGCAGAAGCATCCAGTCCGGTCGGACTCGGGCAGAAGGGCAAGCATCAGTTCTTTGTGTAGGGATCGCTCTTCTGGTCGGACCTCCAATGCCAGCTTCAACACGATGAGGAGGATCGAATCCCAGCCCCTCGATGAGGAGGACCTCTCGGGGCCGATGTACCCCAGCCCCTCCAATGCTTGCGTCTCGCGAGCGCATGATCAGCGGACTGTAACGCCGACGACGACGGTTCACAAGGCGATCCCAACAGCTTGTCGATCTCGGATGTTTACCGAGTTTCGATGTCCGTGTTGCTCCAGAGGGTTGTTATGAAGCATCAAGCCGACCGTGCTAAGGTGAAGGACACTGTTGACCGATACAGAACCCTCTTGGAGACGATCGCTTTCTTTATGATGGTCGAGCGGAAGAACCGTTTCTCGGAGGACGACGTTGTGAGATGGGGTCTCGTCAAAACTGAGTCTAACTCGGCAGCCTGGAGAGGTCTTTCTCTGTCTATCAGTAGAGGTCGCCTGCCGCTCCTTGCTAGGCTGGCGGGTTCTAAGGAGACCTCGAAGCTATATCGGTTCGTCTTTGCTTCCTTCCAGGATTTTCTGGCGAGCGGAGCTTTGACAAGGGGCCTCCGGGACGAAGAAGAACTACCTTCTCTAGAAGAATTGCTTGGGGCCGGCTCGCATGGGGACGACTGGTGGAACACTTTTCTGAACATGGTCGTGGACAGGAGTCCATCGAAATTCAAGAAGCTTTTCGAGAGGCGGTGTTGTAACTGGAAGCCCAGCGAACATGACGGTGACACGCCGCTGCATGCAGCTGCGCGGAATCGACGGCTTACTATTTTCGTGGCTCTGCCGCAGCTGAGCGAATGTGTGCGGAAGTATATGAATGTCTACAACGACAAAGGGTTGCTTCCTCTCCATGAGGCTGCCAAAGCAGGCAATGCTATGGCTTGTGAAGCTATGATCTCGGGAGGCTACGCCGATCTCTGGGCTCAAGCGAAATACTCGGGCTGGGTGCCGTTGCATTTTGCTGCTGCTAATCACCAGAAAGCTGTCATTGACGTTCTGCTGGAGGCCGCGAGGAAGGAAGGGGCTCTGCTCGGAAGTCGAGAAGGTCGCCGGGTTGCCCTGCCGAAGCTGCAAGTGTGTGGTCATCAGTTAGCTATGGACATCGTCTCGAAGGACTGTACGCTGACTGATGAGGAGTTCGTGTCGAGAGCGAAGAAAACTTTCCCTGAGCTCTCCTACTTCCGCGGGCGAAGCGATACTACTCCCGATCAAAGTGCTGCTGTTGCACTTGACCCAGCTGATATTGAGTTCCGGCGTACTATGGGTGCGCTGCTCTCGGTATTCTGGGTATGTGCCGATCGGTATGACGACTTTGTGCGGAACCAACCTCCAAGCAACAGGCTCTCGAGGGAGAACTGGAGTCATCTTCAGCGGTGGGTTAGGAACGTCGTTAAGCTGACCGACCCGCAAGAGCCCGATGCTGTCGATGCGATGCTTTGCTTCATGTCGATACATGACTTGGGTAAGATGAAGGACTTCAGAGAGGAGTTGGCTCCAGGATATCAGGACCACGATGCTGGTCTGTCGTACATCCTGAGCAGGTCGCCTGAGGTGCTCCCGAGCTACTGTCGTCTTCCCGACAAGTACCAGCTCTTGATCGAGACTTCTCTGAAGGTGGATTTCAACTTCGGTCAATTTCTGCAAGCTGAGAACCTGCCCGCGAACATCAAGAATGTGAAGTCGTTACTCGGGAATAAGGGCGATGTTGCTCTAGCTTTCTACCTCTTCCATATCTTCGCGGATATGGCCGGCATTATG